TATGAGGCTGGACTCTCTTCGGGCCCCTGTCTGACATCATAGACCTTAGACATATAGGCGGGTTTTTGAGCCACCATTTTGAGACCCGCTAACAGAGTCTGGTGGTAGACCAGGAGCCTCTCCTTACCTTCTGCTGTGTTGTAGTCCCAGTTGGGACGGCTAGGGGGAAAGCTGGCATTAATGATGCCTGGGTCTGTGGTAGGGTCCCCAGTGGAGCCCGGAACCAATTTCCAGGCTGCCTCCAGGATTCTGTTTCGCTCCTCAGTAGTGAAGAGGACACTCAGGAGCTGGTGGCAATTGTCCCAGGTGGGCTGGTGAGTGAAGAGAACAGTTTCCAATAAGTTAATCAAGTCCCTGGGGTTTTCAGAGAAAGGCGCATTCTGTGAGTGCCAATTGTAAAGATCACTGGTGGCAAAGGGCCAGTAATGAAAGGGCTGATTGCCCTCTCCCTCTGGGGTCCCTGCTCGCCGGAGGGGGAGGACAATGGTGTCAGGCTGGGGGGCTGCCCCCCTCTGGCTCTGTGTGGCCTGCGCAGGGTGGCTTCTCAGGGTCAGGAGGTGGGGCCTGCACTCGTGGCACCATTGGCGGGGTGCCCGTATGAGAGGAGTAGGGTGGGGGAAGGATGTCGTTCTCCTCCATGCCTCCCTGGAGAATGGGTTTCTCTTCCACCTTTGGTCTGAGAGGGAGGACCTGAAGAGTTGGAGGGGGAGCAATTGGATTAATTGGGGGAAGGAAGGACTTGACCCAGGCGGGGGGGCCATCGGGTCGTTTGATGAGGCCTCTCCAGGTCATGATGTATGGGATCTGCTCCTGGTGGCCCGTCCGTGGGCAGAAGACATGGTCCTCTACCCTGGAAATCAAACTCAGGTTAAAAGTTCCTTCAGAGGGCTATCCAGCATTGAAGGAGGGCCAATCAACCGAACATAAAGTTGTCCATTTCTATTTCTTTTTTTTTTTTCTTTTTTTTTTAATCTACACTATTGTTATGGGCAATCGTCTTAACCTCCCCTCAGTGGATTAGTGTAAGATCTAGAGGGGAAGATGGGGTGTTGCCCATAGTATTTATCAGTCCCGTCCGTTTTGTCAACAAAGAAATTAGAACAAAGATCACAAGGCACAAGAACGACACAGACAAACAGAGGGCCCAGAATAAACTACCGCGGCTTTTAGATGGTCTGGACTCTTGGCCATGTGAGTTCCCCGGCTCAATTATGCCTAAGACTGTACGGATAGGACTTGCGTGCCCCAACAGGGTCGCGAGGTCCTCTGAGGTTTCAGATGGACTAGTGTCCTGGTGGGGTGTCCGGTGGGGAACACCCACCCCAACGAGTATCAGGACATCTCCCGAATCCTCCAGGTCACCTTGCTAGCATTCCAGTGACAAAAAACTGAGATCAGATGGCTGTGACCAAAGGGAAAGTATAGAAAAGACAGGCAGACAAACACAGTTTTACAAAAACTTACCCGGCCGGTTGATCACAAAT